CTTAACAGTTAAAGAACCCTAAACCCTATTTAAACCCTAAAGTCCTTATCTAAACCCTACATCCTACAGTAGCTACCTTAACAGCTAAAGGGCTTTAGGTCGGTGATCTCGTCCTTCTGCTCGCTCAGCGTGCGTGCATCCTCTCTGACACCGGATCGGCGGAAAAAAAGGTATTGCCTAGGGTCTATGGGAGATAGGGTTTAGGGTGTTAGCGGTCATAGTATATAAGCTAAACTTGGATCATCTGAATGAGGGACCCTTCCTATAGTCTCCATTGTAGTTCCTTTTTGGGGTTACTGTAAAGGATCCATAGTATATAATTGGTCAAACCAAAAAAAGGAACTACAATGGAGACTATAGGTAGGGTCTATGGGAGGGTTTTCGGTTTAGGGTTTAGGGCTTCAAGGGATAACGGGTTATGGGCTTAGCCTTAAAGGTTCAAGGGTCTAAAGCTCCAATGCTGAAGGGACAAGAACTCATGCTTTTGGGCTCCAAGCCCCTAGAATACAAAGGTTTTGCGCCCTTACATCTTCGTAGGAGTTGGGATGATTAAGTTTGGAGTCTCGCAACTCGACCTTGAATTGAGTTCAGGCTCTGGGATGAAATTCTATGGGCACAAGGATCCGCATAGGCCCTGCAAGTTTTGGAACAGCATACACCCCAAAAGCTTAGGCCGCTCTAGTACTCTACTAAGCCCTAGCATAGCCTCCAAAAACTTCCAAAGCCGCGTTTCAAGCATGTCCCTCAAGCCCCGCAACACCTCGAAGGCTGAAGCCCGACAAACCTTCAACTCCCAAGTACGCAGGTTTAAGCTTAGATTGACGCTTCGGGGCTTCGGCCTGAACAACTGCAAAGCTTCAAGTGCTCAGAAAACAAGATTCCTGCAAAAACCTAAGAAACAGCTAACCCTAACCTCCCAGGTACCTACTACATAGGGCCCTAGGGGCTCTAGTAATTAATATAGTAGGTACCTGGGGGGTTAGGGTACGAACAATCTCCACAAAATGTAGCTCGACAGTTATGTTTGGACGCGGCAGGGAACTGAAGGCTGCCAGCAGGGCAAGTTGTCTTTTTATTGTTTAAGTTTAGGGTTTATAGGGCTTATAGGCTTATAGGGTTTATAGGGTTTATAGGGCTTATAGGGTTTAGGTGGTTTGGGATGCGTTTAGCTTCTCGCGATGGAGAGACTCCTCACCCACACGGACCTAGCGCTGTAGCATAGCATGTCGTTCTGCTCGGGCAGCCGCTGCCGAATACCTTTAAGCCCAAACCCTAAACCGATGAATCCGAAAACCAACCTCTAAACCTCTAAACCCTAAACCGTAATCCCTAAACCCTAAGCCCTAAACCATAATCCCTAAACCCTAATCCCTGAACCCTAATCCCTAATCCCTAAACCCCCTAAACCCTCTCCTGCACCTGCTGGTTCTGAGCTGGCTGCTGCCCTTTCAACTCAGCGATCTGCTTCCTCAGGCGCTTGAATTAAAGGAAACTACAGGTGGGGAGTGTAGGGTATAGGGTTCAGGGTTTTGGGTTGAGGGTATAGGGTTCAGGGTTTAGGGTTTAAGGGTTTAGGGTATAGGGCTTCTATAAAGCTTCTATAATAATCAATAAGGCTCTGGCTTGCGTGAAGTTCAGCGGGTAAGGCTTACAGCTTTAAGGCTTAAGGCAAGAGTTTAAAGTCTGAGGTTCAGGGCTTTCGGGGCTTCCGTTTTGGAGAAATTATAAGCTTTAGGGGGTTAGGGTTTAGGGGCTTGGGGTGTATACTTAGGATTAACACCTCTTTTGCATCAGGCTTTATCACAGTTTTCACTGAAAAGATAGACTAGAACTGCACCGAAAGTAGTTCAACATGGACGCAGCATGTCTGTCAATTTAACCTGTTCCGGAGAAGGCTCAAACTAGGCCATCGAGCCTGGAGCCATGATGCCAATCCCTAAACCTCAACCTAGGTGCCCCAACCAAATACTACAGAAATGTAACACATGATCCTGGACTTGCGTATTTCTAAACAGCTCCGCAACCACTCTCACTTCATAACACGAAACAAGAAAACCAAGCAGCTTCAGCTCGGCGATCTCCCGATTCTGTTCGTCGATCTTGCGCTCATCCTCGCCATTTCGGAGTGCAAGTGCAACAACTGATTGTAACGGCTGCTTCGTTTGTCTAACACAGGCCTAAAGTAACAAGCCAGTGGAGTCACGGGTCTTTGCTACCGATTCTCGGGAAGCTCTAGCATTGAAGTTCAAGCCGCAAAAACGAAAATAGTAGAACCAGTGGTTAGGAGTCCTGTGCCCTTCCATCCCCACTCAGACACGGTGGTATAAACTCAGGAGAAGTCTAGAGTCTAGAGTTCTCGGGCACTACATACACACACACACATATATATATATATATGCATACACAGACACACATTGTAAACATATCATGGAACCCTTAAGGGGTAATTACGAGTCATTGAAATCCTCTTATCACTTCGAACCGAGGATGCTGGGAGTGTATGGGTGACCCACTCTGCAATTCCCATTTTCATTATCCGGGTCTCGTTGCACAGAACCCTGAGCCGCGTCCTGCCTTCAATGCGTTTCGCAGCTGGGAGCCACAGAACCCTGAAGCGCTTCTTTGTTAGGGCTTACTATTCTATATGGGTTTCTAAGTACTATTTTATATTACTAATTTTATATAGTAGAATGTAGGGTCTCTGTCCTGCACTTGCTGGTTCTGAAGCATCTGGTCGGTGTTGGACGGCCCACTTGGCACTGGTACCGGAGCTGGGAGTCCTGACGTGTTAGCCAGAGAGCCCAATACCCCTTAATTAAGGAGTATACCCTAATTCATAAGGGCCTCAATACTATGATTTAAGGTATATGCCTTATTTAAGGGGTATTGGGTTCTCTGGGTAAGGGATTTTTGAAGTCAAAAGGTTTGGCCTCGGGTTCTCCAGGCACAAGCAAGTGAAAGCCTGATCAGAAACCGGACTAGAGTCCCGACACTTCAAACCTCCCACACCCGAAAATTGAATTCGACATCACACGACAAACGAGCCCCAAATTCAGCACAAAAACAAATTTCAATGACTAAGACACCAAAGCCCTGAACCAACCAACCACGAAATCCCCTACCCTTGATTGCATCTGGGGGTTTCCAACCTTAAACCAAACGTTCCGTTTCTTCTGGTTGCACGAACCATTGAAGAACAGGTCATGCGGGGCGCATGGAGCCAGGCAGAGATCTGCTTGAAGGTTCATGGGTAATTCTTCATAGTACGTGGTTTTGTGCGCCCGCTATGCGACCAAAATAATGCATAAGTCGACTAAGGCGACACCCTGAAAGCTCTAATCCTGCTACCGTACGAGCCCTGCAAACCCTGTAAGCCTAGACCCTAAACACCTTGAACTTATAAACCTTAAAACGTAAATGCTTGAAGCCCCGTACCTTATGTAAACCTGAACCGAAAAACAAACCTAATCCTAAACCCTAAACCCTATGAGCCCTAAACCCAAAAAACCAGAACCCTTCGTCGCCTCCACCGAAGCCAAAGCCAAATGGACTGTAGCCAAAGCCGCCGAAGCCAAAGGGCGAGATCACGGGGCTGCCGATGCCTGGGCTAACGGTCAAGTAGCATAAGGTTTGAGCTTAAGGTTGACGATGAATTGGTGGCTTTAGCATTTCGATTGCTTTAGCATTCCTAGGATTTTCGGGTTATTGTGGTAACGCGTTGAGGGCTTTCTAGTTTTTTCTAGGGCTTTAAAGTTGTAGCTTCGGTTTTAGAGTTAGGTGTGCAAGATTCGAACATCACCCTAACCACAAGTTAGGTTTAGGGCTTGAGGTGATTTCATGAAAGGTATTTGGGACTACAATCCCCGCAGGCGTTTGGTGGTGCAGGTCCCCGCGCCCAGGCCTCAAAACAAAGGATTTGCCAAACATACATGAAACCGCAACATGTGTGGACGGGCCGAGACTTCCCCGACTTCCATACAGAACACAACACAAATTGTGCCACCAAGAAACCGATGGACACGTTCGGTCCACTCCTCAACCTCGCAAGCACATTCGGCCGGTATTATTGGACGCTATCAACCTGTCAACATTATATAGATTACAATCTTCCGCCAAACACAGGAAATGCAATGGCATACATGAGGATAGCCAGCAAAACAACTCAAACCCAATTATGTCCCGATTACTTGCACTCATGATGTTTCAAAATAAAACGGCCCAAGCGGGCATGGTTCATCCCCTGCCCGTTATACCCAAAACTCAACTTTCCTGCCGTTTGGCGCGGCTCAAACCGGATTCTGTGCCAATGCAGCTGGTTGTCACAACGCATGAAATACCTGAATTAGGCGTTGTGGCCAAAAGCTCAAAGCAAAATATATTGCAACTACCCATCTCCAAAATCAGCCAAGGCGCCCGTAAGGGAACCATAAAGGAACCCCGAAAGGACCCCTCAATCTTCAATCGCTTAAAGGCTGCTTAAAACAGGGACAGGAGCCGGGCACTGCCGCTGTTCTGGCGCGCAGTCGGCGGTGGGCGGCTGCTGGGCCTACTGCGGGGCGCTGACATCCTGCATGCATCGTAGGGTTTAGGGCTGCGGGTTCCGGTAGAAGGCAGAAAATTCAATTGTGGCGTCAGCAAATGTACAGCCTCCATGTACAAACTCCTACATGAGTTGGACGATATGCTTCACGTATCTTCCCGTTGAACTGTTGCAAAGATCAATGTTGGGCCACACAGTGCTCGTGCAAGCGAGCACGCAGTAATCATATGTTGCAGGCCACCGGAACAAAGCCCGCGATTCTTCTAACATCTTCTACATAACCGTATGGTTCAAACGTCTTGGGTCATGGTTTGTTTGGCGAGCGCATTCCCAACTGCCTTGGTGCCGACCGCATTGCTGACATCCTGGGGCGCAAGAATGCAACATGTGTGGCGCCCCCCTGACGCTGTAGTGTTCAGGTTGGCAAGTCTTCAAGTGTTTTTTGCACTGTTTTCCGCACCTGCCGCCCATGCGCCCACCAGATCTTGCAGCCTCTGCACTGTCCAATGGTAGGAGCGTGATCCTCAGTTTGGCTATTCGTGGACCCCCAAAGTATGTAGAATTATAGCCTTTTAGTGGTTTTGGGCCATTATTTTACCTACTTTGGGGGGTTTAGGTTCGGCTCAAACAATTTTCTGGGAGATGGTGTCGCATCGGTACAGGTACATCATATGGACAAGGTGCCACAACAAAGTTGCAAAACGGACCGGTGGTTGTTACCGACCAACATCTGAACAGTCTGTCGCAACGTAACCCTGCAACCCGAAAGTTTTCACAATGCAAGCCAGGCGCACAAGAGCCAAGCAAGCAGCGGCCGACATCTTGAGAAATGTGGTCCAGCCGGACGCCGCATTGCTGATTGGTTCCGGTTCCGCATGTCCACCACCAACGTCATTCTGCCACTTGGCTTGGAACTTTGCCCGCGGCACGGCCTGAGGGAAAAAATGTGTTGCGACGACGAAATACGGAAATGATGCCAATGCAACCCGAAACCCTTTTCATCCAGGACTCTCGCAACCAGCCGGGAAACTCCGCAAGACAGCAACCCGAAACCCTAAACCCTAAAACCCTACACCGTGCAAGTTATTCCGCGTGACAGTCAATGCCGGCCTGAGCTGGCTTCGTGGTGGGCGGCACGAAACCCAAACAGCAGGTAGTGACGATGACACCAGCTCCAGCGATTCGAAACATTCTTGTTGCAACTCGGGCCATTGTGTCAATTGGAGAGGCTGGAATGCCGACACGCGGAAGCAAAACTATGCCTTGAACCGGGCATCGGCGCCAAACAAGACATGTACCATGCAGCTTGCCCTACGCCCACGAGTCCACACATCATCTTGTAAACAACTGCCAAACACCACGGGGCTAGGCGAGCGCCTCAACTTTATAATCGTTCTCGCTTACCGGACCTCCCGATTAAGTTTGTGCCTGCCCTTTCCGTGAGCACGTCACCCCCTGGCCGATACAGTTCGAGTCATGGCAAGCAGTACAAAAGCAACTGCCACACGTCACAGGCCACAGGGCGAGATAATGAGTTTGCTTGCAATTGCCTGGGCGACCGGCGACACAGGAGACGGCGCAGAAAACCGCCGATGCTTGCACGCTAGGCTGTATGACGGTTGGCAAACATTCGTTTTTCTGCGTACGTGTAGAAGTGATGCTGCTAGACTGGCTAAGGTGGGCTACTGCTAAGTACGGGCCGACACCGGCATCTTGGACTTCAGGCAACGCCTCTCAGCGATTACCTTGGGTCAACTTGGAGCCGAAAAAAACCGAGCATGAGGTCAACAAAAAACCGAGCATGAAGACAACAAAAACGATCAACAAACGTTCAACGCCATGCAGCTATAGGCAGCTCACAATCCCGTTGCATGCAGTGATAACCTGTACACAATCAATCCATGGCTGCGCCCCTAATTGGAAATCATCCGCTCATGCATGTGAAGCCTTTTCCAGCATGGCATGTCAAACCGACGTGAGCATGCGCGACTGCGCCAGCCTTGCCATAATGCTGACCTGCCACTTGCATGTTCTTCCAGAAATGGTGTCGGCACGTGTCGGTTCCAAGCATACCAAAACCATCCGGGCAGTAGGCCATCCGCCTTCCTTCATGCCGGGCGGTTTGCAGGGCGGCACGAGGGTTATGTCGATCGCAAATTTCAAAGTTCAACTTGGACCCCACTGGACCCCTCCCCGCCGATGCCATGACTTGGTTGAAGATTATGTTTATGTTGACATCGCTGGTGGTATTTTAGAGGAAAATCGACTACAGCTGTTGCACCGCGCATTTATTGTTGCTACCAGAGGACGACTAGTTTTACGATAATTATTGCCACCGTTGCCAAGTAGTATTTGATACGATGGTTACAACCATTGCAGCCACGACCATTGTTTTGCCACACCACTCCTGCCGCTGCTGCTGCTGCTGCTGCTGTGGCTGCTGTGGCCACGCAGCGGCTGGTAGGAATGGGAAACAGGCCTGAAGGGCTGACCAGCGATAGCAATAGGACAGCCCGCGCATGGAGGCATGCAAAAAAAAAATTCTCACAAACGTGGCACGTCCAGTGCTCCAGCGGCCACCGACGAACAGGGCGAGGACATGCAACGAGCTGCAGGCTGATGGATCTCAGGGTAGGTGTGCTCCAATTTGCTTTGCACGCGAGTGCAGGTGGCGCCGGCAGTGAGGCCCGCGTCCTTGCGGGGGTCCCCTTGGAAATGCTGGGCTAGAGCCTTCGCTGGTTAGCAATGATCGACCTCGCGCGACTTTCATCTTGTCGGGCCACATCACATGATCTTTTCCCCTGAAAAGCACGACAAGTGTTGGGGAAGACGTCGTTGGAGATGCGCTCACCGGATCGGGAAGCGACGCGGCCTTCCGGCTCGGCGAGCGCAAGGATGTGGTCGAGGTCCGGCTCCGCCCCATAGCGCTCCGGGGGAACAACGAAGACCCCGACGACGTTATGCTGCACTGCTGCACTCTGAACGATGGCATGCCCCACCAACGTCTTGCCCAGGCAGTCGAGACAGCCGCGCGCAAGGTTGGTGGTGCGCGGAGGGCCCAGACGCAAACCAGCTGCCGGACGAGCACATGCGCATCCGCAACATTCATTCCCACAGCCGGACCCACGTTGAAGCCGACTGCGGCTCCGGCTTCCCGGCAGATGCGGGCGGCAGGTCGCTTGAGAACCCTACGCCTTTGGCACGAAGGACGCCTGACTGAGGACAAACTCGGGTCTAGACCGCGCTTGCAAAAAGGACCGACGCATGCTGCAAAGTGGCCTTCAAAGGAGTCGCGCAGCTGCCGGTGAGCACAGGTTGTGGCCAGTGACCGGCGAAGCCGCCGAAGGAACAAAACGCGGAAGAGCTGCGATCTGAGGGACAACCTGCAGAGCGACGGGTCCGGTAACGAAAGCAGTCCCCGCGTCAGAGGTTGACTGCAATTGAGTGGAGAACTGGGAGGAGGAGGAAGAGGAGGAGAGCTAAGAGGAGGAGGGGAGAAGGAGAAAGAGACACCGTCAACGTACTAGTCCTAGGAAGTTGTGGATGATACACCGGGAAAGTCCACACTTGAGGGGCGGTTTCTACCTGTCGAAATCGTTTACTACTACTACTCCTACTCCTAC